ATTAGGATGAGAAATGTTTTATTTTAATTTAAAATAATGAAGAAAAAATGATGAAATAATGATAATGAAGACTGAATCAGACCAAGCTGCCACCTCTAATTTCTGTATATTTTATCTCTAAGAACTGACTTCCTTAATGTTGTAAAATCGTCTTGATCCCTTTTTTTTTTGTTTGTTTTCTGCACTCTAAAAATGAAATGTTGGATTTACTTAACCATGTTATGTGACCTGGTTCCACTTAACTGAGTTGAGTAAATTCGAAGCAACATACTCATGTTCTTTCGTTAAAAAACTGGTATGTTGCTTTGAATTTACTCAACTCAGTTTAGTGGAACCAGTAACATAACATGGTTAAGTTAATCCAACATTTCATTTTTTTACAGTGGATGGACTTTGACCGGTTTTCTTTGGTCTTTTGCTGCCTTTTCACTCATTTTCTGTCAAGTTTTTGTCCATGACAGGGTATTTGTGGTGTCTGAAAAATAGGAAAGTGAACAAGTGGAGGGCAAAAGACAAAATGTTTCAAATTAATGTCTTATAAAAATAAGAAAGAATTCTAGCAAAATGTATCCACCCATGTTCTGCCAATTTTTTTTTGCTAAAATACTTATTTACATCCACTAAACTGTTATCATTGGTGTTTTTCATAGGTAAAACAACAAAAACTATTTGTATTTTTGTAGCAAAGTATCAGGATAAATGCTAATAGCTAGCAAAATATACATTGTCTAGCTAGTATCAATGCTTTCAGCTAAAATGATACATTAGCAAGTATCAATGCTCCTTGCTAGCAAGACAAATTTGGTAGGTAACATCAATGCTAATAGCTAGAACAATACATTAGCTAACTATCAGGACTGTGGCTGCCCGATCCGTACCAGAAGCACAGTCCGTACTGTCCTGGAAGCGTTGTTTTTAGCATGGAGCATTTTGCCAGACTGATGGCAGAATTCATTTGATTTCAGTCTTTCATCACCTGCACTGTTTCATAGATATGGAAGCCCATTTCCGCCACCCTGATAAAAATAAATAAATAAAACTTGTATCTCATAATTATGACTTAGCTATCTCATAATTATGAGATACTATCTCATAATTATGAGATAGTATCTC